AGGGGTCTTTTATTTATCAACTACAAAATTTTATGTAAGAAGCTGAATGAGCATATAACTAGTTAGCATTGTGTTAAATTACCTCCCAACCTCTTTCGCTTTTACTTATTAGGAAGTTGAACACCAGACTTTTATACATCTTATGAAATATTGTAACCACTTGTCCATAAGGAATTTGTCTAGGATTTATATGCAGACAACTTTGTGTCATGACCTTTATTAAGAAATAAGGAGGGATGTTTGAATTTAGTGTAGGTTACATTTGATTTGTTAATCATGGTAAAGCCCACAAGCCTATTTTTATTCTGTTTTTTTTTTTTCTCGAAAAAAAGAGGAAGTATTCTGCTTTTAAAATTATCCATTCACTTATATTTAACATTGCCTGAGGAGGCACATTTGTACTGAAGGATTATCGGCAGAATAGATAAAGCTTATAACAAAAAATAAATGTTAGTTCAATTAGAACTAATTGAACTTAATATTCCCAGGTTCCCTAAGTAACACATTCAACTGACCACAGACCAAAGATGAACGAAACAAAGGACATTAACATATATAATAATTTAATGAACAAAAAGAAGGGATGAATAACAATAGCGGGAGGGGGTTGTATGAAATTATCTCTATCCAATGTTGGGAGATGATGAGCAACGACAAATGCAAGACCCAACACACATAACAGGACATTCATCAATATTCTAATCATATATGTGTAATGGTGTTTGCATGAACATAATATTCGTGTTTCTGTTGCGAGCTAAATCTACATCGGGGAAGGGGTGCAAGAACTTATCTGATGTTTTTGGGATTTAGGGAACAGCTTCATTATAATAGTCTTTTTTTTCTCCTTCTCTTTCTGGTGACTGGGGTTATATTTTCAATGTGGTTCGTATCTTTCACTTCTGGTCTGCAGTCGGATTTTCTTCTTTATGTAACTATGCTCGGAGTTGCTATGGCCTACTGCGCTGGACAATCTCTTCACGTTCTCGGCACTGGGAACAGTCTGGTTCACTTTTCTACCTCAGGGGATGTGTGGTCACAGCTTACTTTCTCGGAGTTGCAGTTGATATGACTTTACCCGTCAAGATCTGGCCAGCTACTGATTTTTCGAATCACCTCGTGTGTCTCTTCTTTTGGTGCCTAAATTTTCTTCTTGCTGATTGGTTGTTCTCGGCCAATCGTGTTGTTTCTTTCATATGCCGCTTCAGCTGGGTTTATTTTAGCGTTTGCCTATGCGTATGTAATCTAGGTTATGGTGTGGGGAGGGGTGGGTGTTAGTTGTTGGCTTATTCATTCGTATATAATATATATATATATATATATATATATATATATATAATTATTTTTTATAAAAAAAAATTATAACATAAGTATGTTATAAAATCACTACAAAAATAGCCATTTTGTTTCAATACACTCTGTGTCTTATCAAGTGATGATGTTGAAAATAAAATAAATGGTTTTAAAAGTTTCAGATTAATTAACGATCCTACACTAGGGGGAAACATTGTTACAAAAGCTAGAATAACCAATCAAAAACCAAGTATATAAAGATTCAAAACCTTGACAACGAAATCATGTTATAATAGCTATTCAGATCTTTAAATTACGTGTAATATTAAAAAGAATTTATACTAACCAATAATTATAAAATTATATGATAAAATTTAATATTAAAATTAAAAACTGGCAATTTTAAAATCCAAATTTAATCACTATTAAGTTTAAAAACTACAAAATTATTGAGAAAAGAAAAAATATATATGTTTATTCAATTCATTTCTTCATTGAAATTACGTTTGACAAGATGCTACAATATATCCGGTCATTTGACAATACATGTATATATATTTTTTTCTTTTCCCTTTCTTTTCCTTTTTTATTTTAAAGTGTGTGAATGTAGTCTTAAACTCACGCGCAAAACAACAAAAACACAATCAGATTATAATACATAAGCACCCAGACATAATTAGATATACACACACACACACACAAAAAAAAGGGGGGCGAGACATGAACATCTCTACAGCCCTTTATGAAAAAAGGAGATGTGGAAACCAACACTTATACACACACAGTTAAATGTGAATACACTCTACATACACATAGACACTGATAGATACACATACATACATCCACAGACAATGACATAGACAATCAGATACCACAACCAATAAATATTTCAGACTTAAAGTATCATTAAATAAATGCTAACCACTTATTAAATTATAACTTAAGGGAGCAAATATACAAAGATAAAAATGGTTAAAAATAATATTATTTAATATATTAAAACAAAAATTCCAAAACCATAAATATCAATAAAAATATATATTAATCATATAAGTTGATAATAGTTTCATTATATATTAGGCAAAGAAAAACAGGATAAAGAAACCCACAGATACATATATATATATATATACGTGGCAGCAAACACAAATTAACACACATAAACATACACTCATACATACATATATACAGAAATACATACAAATAAATATATAAACATAAACATATACGCACATATACATATCTATGATAACAAGTACACATGCACACACATATACATATAAACCTAAATACACACATATATACACAGATTTTTATGCACACATACTTACATATATAAAAAACAGTCATGATATACCAATGTTTCCATACCCACACATACACACAAACTCATACATAATAGGTGCCAACTCACACATATATACATACACAAACATACAAAAATATATATACACATACATACATATCTACAAATAAACATATATATAAATATATCAATCTACACTAACAACTACCAATATATACATGCATACATAAAAATACAACAACACTCAACCAAATACATATATAAATACACATATACATCAACAATTATTAACATTTTCTCTTCTAATCTACCATACCTTCCCACATTATATATATAAAAACTTTAACACAAAACGGAAGGGATTTCTTGAACTGTTTATATAAAATAGTTCAATCGACTTTTTTAATATTTTAATATTTGGAAATCCTCTTCGAATACGTTTTCACAACATCGCCTACGTGACGACGATGTGCTCATATTTAAACGGAACGCTGATCTTATATAAAAATTTCAGTTATCTGTTTGGATTAGTTGTGCTCTTATGTCCATCGTCTTTTGTGTTAAAGTTTTTATATGTTCTAATGTTAATTATGTTTAAATGAAAATGTCCATGAAGATGGTCTTAAATAGACCGAAACATCCGACGTCGACTTTATATTAACATTAATACAGCATAATTGCATATTAAGATTTTTGTTTGTTTTTTCTGTATTTATCTTCATACTGTCGGATTTATATCCATATATTTGCTTACATACTGTCTACTGGAAATACAAACTTGAATTTACTTTATAACATGGAAGACTTCACTCTTGGACGAGAATATAAGAATCTATTGATCAAGTAAGGAAAGGATTTATTATCGAACTGTTTTTTAGACCTGTTCCATCGTTTTTGAAATCATTTTTGATTTGCTTTGTAACGTGAAGGACTTCAAGCTTGTATGAAGATATAAGAACCTATTGATCTCTACATATTCCTATATCAACGGAAGGGATTTCTTGAACTGTTTATATAAAATAGTTCAATCGACTTTTTTAATATTTTAATATTTGGAAATCATCTTTGAATACGTTTTCGACTTTATATTAACACTAGCAGTAGAGCCCGGCGTTGCCCGGGGATGTAACAGTAAGAGATAGATCAAGTATCGACTATCATAAAGGCTGAAAAATAAAATTGACAAAGATTATTGTTTAAGGTTGACGGACACGCATGTCTTAATTAGTTGTTTTCTTCTTTTTTTTTTTACGAATTGGTCAAACCCAAACTCAAACAAAAACATTGTTTACAATCATTATATTTTCCATAAAGCATCGTAAACGTAAAAATGAAAGCTAAGTACAAAAAATAAAAAAATAAGAAATAGAGCACTGAAAGTTTTCCTTAAAAGTAACGAGGTAAATAATTTGTTCACTTAAATAATTTCACTTCCTTCCATCCATAGAAAGAATTACCCTCCTGTAAGTTATCTAAACATCATGAATGTGCCTTTCGTCAATTCTCAAGCGACGTGAAAGGTTATGACCTGCTTTGTTTTATTTTCAAATTACATTTTTTCGGCGCAGAAGCTAAGTTAAGCTTGGTTCAAAATATTTTAAATATACAGTATAATATCTGTTTTTATTAAAATCAGTTTTGAAAAAATGATAATTGACTTTTAAAAGAATATCAAAGTAAGATTTTAATCTTTTTTATCAAATCGAAAAAAATGATTGAAAAAAATGATTTACCAAAAAAAAACAATATTTTTAATGAAAATTTCAGACGTGCTAGGAATACCCCCAAAATACTTTGATCTTTCCTCTTTAATAATAATATGAACATTAGACGATAAAATTTTGTTTTCGTCAAGTTTGGCGTCTTTTTCATCATGCTATGCTCTTTTGTTTACATTTTCGTGGGTGAGTTGTCCCCCTTTCATTCTCACGATGTGTCTTAATCGTGTTTTCAAATTGATTTTCTTAAAAAACAACTGTGTTTTTCCCATTTTCGGTGCCGTTAGAACCACCAAAAAGGTAATTTTATGTAGTCCTGTGAAGTTTTGTTGAAATCGGCTAAAAAATGTAGGAAATTCGATCCAACATATAAACGTTACAGACACACACACACACACACAACCTGCGTTTTATAATAAGTAAGATAAGATTAATACAGCATAATTGCATATTAAGATTTTTGTTTGTTTTTTTCTGTATTTTTCTTCATATACATGTATGTATGTCTACATATATGCATATATATGTATGTATGTACATGTAAATTTATGTATTCTGATTTTATAAAGTCACTTTGAAAAACATTCTAGCAATATAATTATTTAAAGAATAAGTAAAAGTACTATTGCAAGCATTTTACCATGACTTATTTCCACCACCCTTCTTTTTTTTTTTACTTTTAGACGCAGACGTCTCTATAGGTCACTTGATTTAGCTAAATTATTGCTTACAGAAGGCATATCCTCTGCTGATTTGAACCCTAAGAACATTTCTTATAATGAAAAAGTATTACTTAATGCTAACACACAAGATCCTGCACCCTTTTCTTCATATCTTGCTCTGGAAATATTTGACAATGAAGAATATGACTGTCGCACTCCTTCTGAATGGTTACATTTAGGAGAAGAAGAGGGCATACTGAAACCAATTCCTGGATTTGCATTTCTGCCTAATTGCAATCATGGTAATTGTAAATTGTTTTAATTATTTTTCATATTAATAGTTTTTTTTTTAATTTATTTATAAGTACTAAAATATTTCTTACTTTAAAACTTTTAATTATATTCCAGTGTAAATTATATTCAATATTATGTTTTTTGAAAATTTAAAAAATAAAAATGCTTAAAATTCAAACTATTTTTGCTTACATGCAAAAAGTGTAAATACTCTTTAAGAAGGAATTTTTTTATCAATTGTATTTAAGCTCATTTGATTATTTAGTATAATTATAAAATTCATTCTTTTTCTAATATCATTTTCAATAGGTTTCTATAAATTTGGCTAGGAACTGAACATAAAAGGCAAGATTCAGAAATTATAGATATATGTCAAGTGTATGTTAAACTTTAAATTGATTTATATTGTAAGGATAATATATTTTTTAACTAGTTTTGAAATGAGAATTAACTGCATTTTACATTTATTTCAGAGTCTTCTGATCTTCTGAACTCTATTAACACTGATGATACTTTTGCATGGCATGAAGTTGGTGTAATCGGCTACAACCCTGATTCAAAAAAGTATCTTGTTCATAAAGTCAATTCAGAGGGACGTGTAGTTGACATTTATGGAAAACCAATTATGATACAACCAGAAATGATTATTGGTAAGATTTTAAAACTTTAGACCTAAGATTTATTCTTAAAGATACTCTGAGAATAGCTTCAGAGAAAATATAGTTTTACTGATCATGTTATATCACATGAAATAAATGTGGTACAAGGCAATCAAAAATAGTCCTTGCCTTGTTTTTTTTTATTAGAAAAAAAAGATATACAGCAAATTTGACATACCATTAGTCCTCAGAGTAAACCCCATTGGCATCCAGAACCTTTTGCCAACATGCCTTCAGCTGCACAATGCCCTGGTGGTAAAAATTAGGTGTTTTGGATGCAAAGAAGTGCATGAGTACCTGCCACAAGTATGCCTCATTTGCAAAAGATTTTCCACAAAGGTGGTTGTCCAGGGAATGGAAAAGGTGGTAATCTTTTGGCGCAATGATTAAGGTGGATGGCACAGTTTTTTCCCAGCCATGTCACTGCATGGTATCCCATACCACCCATACCACATGAGGCCTGGCATTGTCATGCAGGAACATTACATCCTTGTAATTAACCAATACTGGCTCCTTCTGCTTCAGTGCCTGTTGCACATGTTCCAGCTGCTGCAAGTACAGGTCTGCACTGATTGGCCTCTTGGTAGCAGCTCATAGTGCACCACTTGTCAACTAGTCTACTAGATACAGAGCATGATCTTGTGTGTGTGTAGAGGTGGTCTTGTAGTGTGGTGACAACCTGTGATAAAGCTTGTATAACACTATTAGTTGCTGTAAGGAGAACACTGAAAACAATGCTTTGAGTGAAGAATTTTTTAGTCACATGCAAACAGAGATTGAGAATATAGTAGTTCAGTATGACTGAAAGCGCTAAGTCTTAGTGACCAACTTTTTACCACTGTTCCATGAGCAGACATTCTGCTCATAGTGGATGGACGAGTCCATGTTTCAATAATAGTGTAGAGAAAGTTAGTCAGTCTTTCTATATAACTCTTTTCTTTTTAAGATATGCCTTCTATTTTAAATGCATATTTTTCTTTGGGGTTTCAATTCTGAGGATTTCTTTTTCTTTTACTAACATAACATGTTTGAGTTTATAATTGGAATTGGCAAGTCAAAACTATCATAGATCACTTCCATTGGTAAATGTCTTTGTTGGGTTATTTCATTGGCATAATTGGTTTAAATGCATTTTATATATCCAGTTTTGACCTTGTACCATATACATCATTCTGCAAATATGATTTATTATTCCACCATCTTCCCAACTTTCTTTCCTTACCTTATAAATCCTGAAGAAAACCTTATCACCAGCTTTGAATGATGTCATCCTTAATTTCATGCTGTACCAACTTTTTATTTTTTTAAGACTGATTTAATTTTCTTGGCAAAACATTGGTTCCACTGGTGACATCCTCAATGTAGTCTTAAGGTTAGGAGTCAGTCTATAATTATTTAAAAACTGTTGGAGTATTACTTCCTCCATATCCTCCTCTTCTGAACATACATCAACAAAACATTCAGCCTGACTATTTGATCTTGGGTGATATGGTGGCATGGTAGCATTGTTATATGTGCAACTGCCTAGAATTTGCAAAAAAATTTTGAAAGTCACTTGAACTAAATTGCGTGCCATTATCAGTCCCTATAGTGTGTGGAACACCAAGTATCAAAAACAGTTCATGAAATATAAACTGTTTAAAGGTCCCCCACAATCAACATGCAACCTAGACCAAGGTTTATAAGTGTTAGGCCAGGGTTGCTAAATTACAGGTGATAAATTTGCCATTAAAGCACAACTTCTGCATGAACTAACCAAACTTTGAATATCCTGGTCCATTTTAGGCCAATATGAATAACTTCTCATAAGGGATTTCATTCTTGACATTACCACAACTCCAACATGAAAACATTTTAAAATTCTTTTTTGTAAAGAAACATGAATTCATTCTATTTCAACATACATAAGTACTTTATCACAGATGGAAAATGATTTATTATTTTCAGTAACACCTGGTTTATTTTTTTCTTCCTTTCCATCTCACTTTTACATCATTCATCATTTTTAAAATGTTCTCATCCTTCTTGGATTGTATTTTAATTTCATCCAAAGTCACAGTTAGTTTCCTTATTGTGTTACACAAAACACTTTTTTATTTCATTTTCAGAAATTACAGATGCAATTATTGTCTCTTCAAAAGGTTCCTTAAATTTGGGGATTAATCTGGACAAACCAACAGCATGTCCCAATTTTTTTGATGGTAAATACTCCATCTTAAAATCATAGTTTAATAAAATCATTCCACTACATTGTAACTTGTTGGCAGTATGTGTTTGAATAACTTTTTTATAACAAAAAATAGTCAATAATGGTCAGTGATCTGTTTGCAGAATAAATTTCCTACCATGCATCATTTTGTGAAATTTTTTCACTGCAAAATAATAGTTAATGCTTTTATTTTGATTTGACTTTTATTTTTTTCAACCATTATTAGCATTCTAGATGCATGGGCAACTGCTTTTATTTTACCATCCTTGAATTTATGACAAATAACTGCTCCAGTGCCATAATTGTTAGCATCTAATGCTACTATTATTTCTACATCAGGATTGAAATGCGTTAATGATAATTCAGATGTTAGCATGTTCTTTATGACTTTAAAAGATTTTTGACATTCATCAGACCATTTCCAAACTGCTCCTTTTCTCAATAATTTATTTAAAGGCGCTCTCAATTTATGCATGTTTGGCACATAAAGATTGTAATAAGTTGCAAGCTTTAGAAATAAAAAGTAGCACTGTTTGTTGGGGTAGGCCTATCTTTAATAGCACTCACTTTTGATCGGTCTGGTTTATGTTCATTTGCATCAGTTGTCTCATGTATTTTATATTGCTCCTGAATCTGAATTTGGGGGTCTTTTCTTGAACTTTACTTTATAATACTGATCATTTTGTTATAGCATATTCAAACATATGCTATAACTAAATGATCAGTATTATACAAAGATCTTTGTATTTATTGCTTTCTGATTTTGTTTGGCAATAGATATTAATATTATACATAATTATTTTCTCCTTAAAAATAATTTAGGGTGGGAAAGTGCTGTTGTATTTGGTTGTTTGTGTGTGTATATGTTTGTAAATAAAGTTAAAGACAGCCCCACCCACACATTCACAAAAAGTATTTTTATAATTAAATTTATGTGCTATTACAAATATTTTTAAAGTTATAGGATATAAGATATTTGAATTGTATTTGATATTTTTGCAGTAATATTGCAGATAGTTTAAATATATCTCTTAAGATCTGTAGCAGAAGCAAATACATATATTTCCTTCCAAAATTCATAATGGATTTCTATTAAAAAAAAATCCAAACAGACAGAACTGAAAACCAGCTTTCAGTTTTATTCCTGGTGCTGGGAATTAAAAAATGAGAAAAATGATTAACATATCAAATATTCAAATCCATCATTTTTTTTTATTAATTTGTAAATATATTAATTGCATTTTCAAATAATGATTTCCATCTACTTTAGAGTTTATAAATTTTTATTGCTTTTCTAAATTATTTAAATTCAACTTTATCATATTCTTTTTTATTCAAGATAAGTTACTGGACTCTCAGTTTTGGGTTCCACGCATTTTCTTACTATTTTGTGCCGAAGACCCTCGCATGTTTGCTAAGCGTATTGCAGAAGCATTCCATGAAAGAAAACAAACAGAAGCTTTATTACGGTATCATCTTTATGTTGATTGCATGCCTATGGATGGAGTAGGTGAGTTAGACCAAGCTTCATTAAAGAGAATGATTGACTGGGCAAGAAATACGTGTGGCATTATCAAAGATAAAAGGTAAAGTACTTCTTTATTATCATATTATCATGTAAGATTTAGAAATTTTATTTTTTTAATCTTTCTTTCATTACAAAAATATATTCAGTGTAATGTTCATCTGTTTTAAATATAGTAATTATCATTTTTTTAAAAATATAATTATCATTTTTTCCATGTCATATAAAAATGGAATCTTTCTTTTCTTTTCAGTCTGGATGATTATATTCAACTTTTAGAAAAAGAAGTGAACATTGACTTTTGTCGATCAATGAATAAAATTATCTTTGATAAAATTGTTTGTGAAGATCAAAATACATTTGCATTTGTAACATTACCTAAAGCAAATGAAGATATCGTACCCACAAAAGGTCAGTTCATTTCATATGAAATTTAGCTATAGTACCTGATAATATCTGTTTTGATTGTGTGATATGCACTAGAAATAATAAAATTCCATGTCTTTGTTTAGAAGAAAATGAACTTTCTAAAGGAGTGTACTCATTTATGAATGATATTGTATGATATGGAATCTAACATGTCATTCTTAACCTTGTTAACAACATTTCAATATTTCAGTCTTAAACTTTGTTAGCAGGAGAATATTGTTTTGGAAAACAAAGATAAATGTTTGGATTTTCGCTGTTTACTCATCAATAATGGAATAAATATCAACACAATGAGTTGTAGCATAAGCATTTTTTTTCTATTAGATTATGCAGAGGATACATTCATAAAAAAGATCACAAAATACAATAAGAAAATTGTGAAAAGGTAAAAGCTATCTAAGTGAAAGGTGGAAACTTTCAAGTTACTACAGTTTGAATTGTGTCTACTGTATATACTTGTGTATAAACCAACTTCATGTATAGAACTTTTGCATGAATTTTAAGCCTCCAGAAAAAAATTACCTGTATATAATGCAACCAGTCACTGAAAATGCATGATTTTTAGCCTCTTCAAAAAATTACCTATGCATAGTGCCAATCCTATTTTTTTTTTTAAATCTTGCACTATACTATGTTAAACTCAGGTAACAAATCATGTAATAAATCAAAATGTGTATTGACATAAAATAAATATTTTCTAGATTTATAATGTTGCCATCCATAGTTTGCAAACATTTTATATTTTTTATCATCCTGTTTTATATGTGATATGTCCCAGAAAGGGATATATTTGTTCGAAGTAGCAAAGTGGTTGTTGACTACTGTAACCAGGTAGGACAATCTAGCAGGTAACCGTAATGGACTGGTCCTTATCGTAGTGGTAGGCAATAGGCATCATTAATAGGTGAAGACAATAGGCGTTGTAAATAGGTGTAGTCCCTGTACCTCCACATCAGTCTGTATTTATGGCTGACACCAGCCAATCATATTACTGTGAGGGGGAACCCAGGTGTATGCATATTCATTACATCACCTCCCCCTGAGCTAAATTTCCCGTGAAATTTAGCTTCAATATTTTCTCTTTTTAGGGTCTGGACTTAATCGATTGACTTTTTTCCTAAGTTTTTTTTGCCTCAGTCCTCCTTGCAGTGGTGGCTTTTGGCACACTGGTACCTCTGCCCTTGAGGTCAGGGATACCTCCATTGAAAAATGTTGACTTTCTGGAATGGGAATTTCAAATGCGTCATACAGGACTTCCATTGTAATCTCTTTGGTATTTTCCGTTACCGATGTAGTGTGTCTGGGTCTCAATTGATTCCAATGTCTTTTGCACCAAAATTTTTCCCCTTTTATATCATATATGACCTGTCCAATTCTTTTGTTTATCATTCCTTCTTCCCAATACATTTTTCCAGCACTAGAGTTCTTGAAAAAAACTTTGTCACCTGGCTTATACGCTTTAGTCATCTGGTTTTCTTTTTTAGCAGTTTTCTTTGCCAGACTAAGCAACAGCCTGTCGAACACAGAGCGTATTTTTCTTGCAAACATTAACTCTGCTGGCGATAACCTTGACATCGTATTCAGGTTTGGCGTGATTCTATATACTGCCAAAAATTTCTGAATACTTCTTTCATTTGTGTCCACAACTTGGTTTTTCTTCAACGCTCGTTTAAAGGTGTCCAACAAATTTTCCGCCTGTCCATTTGATCTTGGAAGATATACTGGCATTGTCACGTGATCAATGGACAATGATCTACAGAATTCCTTGAATTTTCTTCCCGTAAACTGCGTTCCATTGTCGGTGACTAAAGTTTTAGGGAGTCCAAAGCGACTAAAAATTTCATTAAGTGTGTTTATTGTATTTGTTGCTGTCGGATGTCTGCACTTAACAGCTTCTGGCCACTTAGTGAAACTGTCCACAATGATCAGGTAATAAGATCCATTTATGGGCCCTGCATAGTCGATATGCAATCAAGTCCATGGACATCTGTCTTTGGCCATGGTTGAATCTTTACCGGTAGATCCCTTGCTGCCAGTTGACATCTTTTCACCAAATTTTCTATGTCTTCGTCCATCCTCGGCCAATAAGTATAGCCTCTCATTAGAGATTTCATTCTTGAAATCCCTGAATAGCCAGTGTGAAATTCTTTCAGAATTTTCTTTTGCAGAGTAACCAGCATTACAACTCTATCTGCATATAGTAATACCTGTTCGCAGATTGAAAAAGGTGACACACTAATTCCTTTTTTAGTTTTCTCATTCAACCAGACTTGCTTTTTCATTTTTTTAATGAAATCATCGTTCATCGCTGCTTTTTTCACATCTTCTAGTGTAACCGGTAGTTCTCTAATAGTGTTGCATAACAGACCCGACAATTCACTTTTGTCTCTTAGCACCACTATTACTGTTTCTTCCAGTGGTTCTGTATATTATGGTATCAATCTTGATAACCCATCGGCGTGACCTAGCTTCTTTGAAGGCACATATTCTATTTTGAAATTATAATTCAATAGAATTACACCCCAACGCTGTAGTCGATTTGCCGTGTGAGTTGGTATACCTTTTTTTTTTAACCAAATATTGTTAACAGTGGTTTGTGGTCTGTTTGCAGAATAAATTCTCTTCCGTATAGAAACCTGTGAAATTTTTTTACAGCGTAGATTATTGCTAAACTCTCTTTTTCGATTTGACTGTAACTTTGTTCCGCGGGCAGTAACATTCTCGAGGTTTGTGCTATTGGCTTCATAGATCCATCCTCGAATTTATGAAGCAATACCACACATAGTCCCTCATTACTGGCATCTGCTGCTACAATGATTTTGCTCTACGAGTTAAAATGCGCTAACGATAGGTCAGCTAATAGACAGCTTTTTATTTTTTTAAAAGCTTGTTCGCATTCTTTCAACCATATCCACTTTGTGTCCTTTTTTCACCAAATTATTTAAAGGAACTCTCATATCATACATTTTTGGGATATAAATGCTATAGTAACTTACTAATCCCAAGAAGGCCTGGAGTTTAGCCACATATCAGGTGCTGGCATATTTTTTATAGCCTCAGCTCTTTCTGGATTCAGTTTTCTTCCTTTACTGTCAATGATCTGCCCTAAATATTTTATTTTCTTTAAGAAGAACTCACATTTTTCAGCACTCAGCTTGAACCCGAATTCCTCAATTCTTTGAAATATCGCTCTAATATGCATTTTGTGTTGGCCCTCGTTTTCACTTTTAATCAAAATATCATCTAAATATGCAATTGCATACGCCATACCAGCCAACATTGTGTCCATTATTTGCTGGAATAGGCTTGGAGCTACTTTCAATACAAAAGGAAGATGATTTAGTTTAAAAATCCCTTTGTGCGTGTTTATTGTCAGGTACTTCAAACATTCTTCACTGACTTTAACCGGAAGGTAAGCCTCCGAAAAGTCCAATTTTGAAAACACTCTACCTCCATTTAATTTAGTGAATATATCCTCTGGAGACAGTATGCATGGTCTTTCACACAATCATTTAAGTCTATCAAAAAGTCAGCACACACTCTGAATTTTTTTTTTTTTTCATATATACAGTTGGAGACACCCAATCAGAGTAATCAACTTTTGAAATTATGCCAATTTTCTCCAACCTTTCTAATTCCTCATTTATTGTGTCTAGTGTCGAAAATGGTACTTTTCTGTTTGGTCTAAAGATTAGTTTAACATTTTCTTTCAATTCGAAGTTGACTTCTGTTTTTGTGCACAGACCTAGTCCTGAAAAGACGTGAGGAAATTCGCCTTTCAAATCTATAATAAATCTTTCTGTTTGCTTCGTCTTACAGTTCTCTATGACGTTAACTTTGTTACAGAATTTACCAGTAATTTCCATAAATTAAACAATACAATCCAGTCTAAACCAAAGAGGTTTACTTAACCAGGGAGCACATACACTTTTGATTTGTGAATTTTTCCCATGAGCACAATGTTACATTTTAATTCACCTGTAAATTTCAGTCTGACACTCCACTGGCAATTTTGTCTGTGTTAGTCAACAGCAGGTAACCGATTTTTTCCATGTTTGCTCATTTATTACAGAGATATCGCTTCCTGAATCGAGTAATAATTTTACGGTCTGCCCATTTATTTTGACATTGAGGTATTTTCTCCTTTGACCCTCCTCAATTTCGTTTTTAGACAAAACTACATTCACCTTTGTTTGAGACTTTGCTTTTACTTTACTCTGTTTTGCCCGACAATGGCCTACATGCCCACAATTAAAACATATTTTATCCCTAAAGAAACAGTCCTTCTTTATATGCTGTCCTCCACATGCACTGCATATAATTTTTCTTTCTTTATTTTGTATCCACTTGTTGTCTTACAGTTTGTACTTGTGAAATGCTCTTCTCCTCAATCCGAGTATTATCTTTTTTTATGTTTATAAGTCGCTGACATACTTCTGTTATGTTTTGTAGTGTAATCTTCGTATCCTGTTCCATGATAGTGAAGATTCTTGATCTAATTTCTTTGTCCTTCGGTGTTGTTAGACCCTGCACAAAAATTAGACACTTGAACATGTTGCTTGACAATGCCTTTAATTTAAACGTCTCACACTACATACCTACATACGTGGCAAAACCATCATCCTCTTGTTTTATGATATTTAGACACTTGTATTGTGTATGAAACAAAAATCGAAAATGTTCAACAAAATTTCTACTGTTTCGCTGAATGTAATTTCTTCTGGCTTCTTTGGGAGGATTAAATTCGCGTATTTTGTATTTTCTTCTGTTCCCAACTTCTCCAACAATAGAGTGATTTTTTCCTCGTCAGACCATTGTTCGCATCTTTTTGTAAATATTGTTTCAAACCTACGAAAATAAGCCGGAAACGTTGAACCACTGTCAGTGTCATATTTAAATTCAGAGAGAAAAAAATTCAGCAGAAAAAAATCTAGAACCCGGTTCTTTTGTTGTCCTAGATAATACGTCTTCCCAAAGTCATTTATTGTCTTTTGCCTGTTGTTTGAATAACTTTTCAAACCTTTCTTGTTGTTGAATAAATTGTTGTTGTTGGAATTGTTGCTGTAAAGTGACTTGTAGCACCTTAGTTAATTCCGCAATTTGTTCCATTCTGCCAACGAATCCACAAGAAGAAATTTTGCTCCAATTTATGTAGACAATAAAATTTTCTATGTCCAAACAAGAGGGGGGGCAATTTCTTACTTTCTGTAAGCGTTGTGCAAGTTTTTTCTTTTCTAACGTTCCTCGTTAATAAGTGTTAAAACAAAAATGAGGGAAAAATTACTTACTTTCTGTAAGCGTTGAACAAGTCTTTCTAATGTTCTTTGTTAGTAAGTGTTGTCAACTGTATATATATTTTTTTTTTTTGTTTTAACTTGTGAGGTCATTTCAAATCTCATCACCAACTGATATGGCCCGGAAAGGGATATATTTGTTCGAAGTAGCAAAGTGGTTGTTGACTACTGTAACCAGGTAGGACAATCTAGCAGGTAACTGTAATGGACTGGTCCTCATCATAGTGGCAGGCAATAGGTGTCATTAAAAGGTGAAGACAATAGGTGTCGTTAATAGGCGTAGTCTCCATACCTCCACATCAGTCTGTATTTATAGCTGACACCAGCCAATCATATTACTGTGAGGGGGAACCCAGGTGTATGCATATTTATTACATCAATATGCTTTCATTTTTATTTAAATTATAATTGCAAAAGAACATCACAAGTTTTCTTTCATATGTTCTCGGGATGTGACCATAAGTTTGCTCTTCATAAGTATGTTTCCAAGATAATACAAGTTATTACTTCCTTTCCTCTTCTTAAGCATGAGTTAGGGAAAAACTTAGCTACATCAGTATATTCTCAGTTTACCTGTTTGTATATATAATATGCAATCGTTCCCTTGTAAGGTAACAATTTTAATGATGATTATCATAAGACTTAGTTTTTCCTTTTGGTATTGCAATAAATTATGTAAACTATGTTATTAATATTCTAAAAAAGCTTTACTTAAATGTTCTAACATTTTAAATTAAATATAACACAAATAAAATATATATTTAATCAATACCAAAGCTTTCAGATAAAATTTAGTTAGATATAGATAAAGTTCTCATTTCTTTAAGAAATCAAACATTCAGATGGAGTCACAATAATAATAATTTAAATTTTTATTTTGATGTTGATGTTGTAGTAGTGGTAGTAGTAGTTGTAGTAGAGTTTTTTTTTAATACATATGATCTTATTAATAAATTCACCAGGATTGATGAACAAATGACCTGTAGAGTAAGTTAGAAATTTTCATTAACTTGATTTTTAATTAGAAGTTGAAATTAAATAATCCTATTACAATTTAATACATTTTGGAAGTTGGTTTAAAATTTAACTTAAATTTTTTTCAGGAGTCTGTGCTGATGTACCAACTTATCCTTTTGATGAACAATATGACAAATTTGCTTTTACCAGTTTCTTGACACGAGAAGAAAGTATACAGACTTGTGTGAAGCTGCGAACTGAGTGTAACAAAGTAGGAATAATGTCTTTATTTCATGTACCAACCACAAAACCAATGAAAATTGATGAATTTGAACAAACACAATCACAAGCAACTTCTCAGGTGAAACATTTTATATTTTTGCTTTGTTTTGGGTTTGTTTTTTGTAGAAATGGAAGTTTATAATTGTAGCAATTAAGTTTAAGATTTATGTTTTTTTTTATTTGTAACCAATATTAAACTTCAAGGAAATAAGTATTTCCACAGTAAATAAATTAATTCACGTGATTCCAATCATTCAAAGTTATAAACTCAGTGAATTTTTTAACAAATTTATTATTATGAAGATACAAAAAATATTTAATTGTTCTAGAGTTGAAACTAATTCATGCCAGCAAATATACATACCAAATTATATACAGACAAATACTTAATAACATAGGTTGTTTAGAAATTAATGATAAATTTCAAATTCAATAGATTTTATAAATTGTTTTTTATGCTATTTTATCAATTTAAATATAAAACATTCAAATATTTTTATCACTGATTTTTGTTTATGCCAATTCTCTGGGTAAGGAATTTCTTAAAAGCATTTTTTCTAATAAATGTTTTTTATAAGTTGATTTTTAATTAATAATTTGTAATATCAAAATATGTCAAAATACTAGAATGTAAAGTTATAATTGAGAAATGTCAAATGAGTATGTTAAGTGTCACAAAGTTTTATAGACCATATTTATGAATATCTCGAGAAAATATGGTGCATTTTTGACAGGAAATTGTTATAAAGCACAATGGATTGCCTTTTTCTAATGCAGGTTATTTCACAACTTTCTTTGTATTTCTGTTTCATTACCATAAACCTCTGTATTGATACTATTCTGATAAAGCATAGTTAATAATTCATATCTGTAAAAGAACATCCTATCACAAAACATGCTTTGTTTACTGTATTGAAGAATTTTTTTAATTATATAACACTTTTCAGTTTTGCATAAGGCAAAATATACAAGATTTGAGAATAATAATTTTTATAGTTTTCAATGTTTACATATCAAAAAAAAATATAATTCTATTCTTTTGGAATTTTGGATATATGTTTCAACAAATATTTTCAGCTGTTCATTCTTATATCTTTTAGGCTCAAATTTATGTTATGAAACTTTTGAAACAGTTGATCTTGAAGTAGTATTTTCACTCAATGACTGGTGATTATATTACAAAATATATCCTGCTTAATTTTGAACATATTAAGAAAACTAAAGCATAATTGTTATGTTTTCCTTCTTTCTTTTTACAGAAAAGAACTAATTTATAAGTGCCTAAAAAAGAAAGAGATGCTCAATAATTTAAATAGTATTTAGGCTTGAAAATGTGATATGAAACTTGTAAATCATGTGGCTTGTAATAAAAATTTTAACTGTACAAATAGTTATTATTTTACTAAAAAGATTCCCTACAAATTTAGATTTTTAGAATTTTTTTTAGGTATCTTTATTTCTCAAGGACAGTTGGATCACAACACTACGAGCTGCTATTCGCACAAGCCTCAGAGATATTGGCAAAGGATGGTTCAACATACATGAAACAAACTGGGAAGTTTACCAAAAATCCAAACTGAAAAAATTTATGGAAATGGTTAAATTCATGATGCAGGTATTTGCTTTGATTATATAGCAATTTTCAAATTATTGAATATATTTAATGATATTTGTAATTATATTGATTTTTATATTAAAAATCCTTCATTCAGTTTTCACTGAATATTGAACATAAAGAAAATTTTGCTGCAATCCCACTCCCTTTGAAAACTTTTTTCCCTTTGTAAATTCATTTATCAGTTCATACAAATAAAAGTTTTTCTTATGGAAGTAGAAGTATTTAAAAAATACAAATAACTTTACTTTTTCAGGATACTCTTAGATATTTAGTCAATGAATCATTGATGAACTTCACTCGAATGTTGAAAGATGCATGTGCTTGCACTTTTGATTTGAAAGAGCCTTTTACTTGGAAAAATGATATCATAAGCAGTCCATTCAAGTGAGTTTTCTTTTACTGTAAAATTATTTTTATAAAAAATATCTTTACTTGCAAAAAATTATCATGATAGAAAGTGGGAATATAAAATGTAACAAATTATGTTGACTAATATTTACTAAAGTATATAACTGTATTTACTGTAATAAAGTTACTAAAGTGCTTTGTAAAAGTTGGCTTAAAAATATTATTTAAATATAGTATGAAAATCTTTTAAGATGAAAGAAAAACAGGCAATTAATATTAATGATGATATAACCAATAAAATTAGTACATATGGTTTTTGATTGACACATAAGAAAAGTAAAAAAAAAATTAAAAGCACCAATCACCCAAATAATAAAGAAAACAACTTGAATGTCCTAATAAAGAATATTCTTTAAATATTGCCTCAGATACAAAAACAATCCTTTTTAATCATTCTTTTTTGTCTTAAAATCCCAATGTCAACTCATGAAATTCAGTCTGTATTTTAAAATGATTATAATCTCTAGCCTGACAATGTCCTCTTTAACAAGACAAATATTTTTCTTGAATTAACAGATGAAAAAAAAGTTTGAATTTTATAGTTTCATATATATACCCAGTTATGGGTAAATAGCAAGACAGACTGGGTTTTATAGCCTTGGATGGCAACTGGTCTAGGAGAAGGACAACTCTGAATTCAAAACCTGTGGCATGACCTGCCACAGGTTCTGAGGACCTTGTAGTACACAGTGCATCAAATCTCTGTATTTGGCTCTTCAAAAAGTGTGGTTGGTTCTGCACAAAACCTTCACCACGTCGATCAAGGACAGGAGAGTCCACAATATATATAAGGTATATTTAAGCAGCAAGTATTTATCCAAACAAGTTTCAACTAACAAGGCCTGTTTGTTTAATTTTTTATTGTATTTTTCCAATTTTCAAGGCCGACTATAAGGGACTCACAGGGTCAGTGTAGGAGTTCAAGTCATTGTTTTTAATTTAATTTAAAACAAATTCTCATACATCTATCCAAGATTGCTCTTAACCAGCTCAAATTAGTAACTATTGATGTTTTCCAAAAGTTTAAATTTTATTTGCTTTCCTAGATTACATCATGCATTTTTGCTTAATTTTTTCATAAAGTTGAATATTTCTTTCCAGTTCCCAATGTGTCTTAGTCATATTATTTGTTAATTCTTGAATTTAATACTACACCAATCCATAATGCATGTTATAAATTTGAGAAGGTATATTTTCTGTTACTCCTTCAGCAGGTTGCCAACATTAAAATTATTTGATCTACAATAAGAAGCTTGCTTTTAGTGCAAGAGTTTTTCTCTCATTGCCACTCCATGTTCTTATGATATAAAAAAATAAAATAACACCAGTTGGATTTTCTTTTGCTCTCACTTCATTATGGTTCAACATAATTTTAACATTTTTGTTTATTTTCTATGCTCACAAATAGTTACTTGCAAATGCTATCTCTTGTTCATGTAATTTTGTTTTATGATAATATTGATCCAATGGGAGTAGGAAATGCTGGTGTATCCCCAAGCAACCTATGTTATTCGCTCTCTTCTCCCAGTGGGCCTTTCAGTCCTCACATCTGAACAAGCTTGTCTCTGACTCAAGAAGTTCTGTTGCTTTGATTTCTTGGTAGATGAGATATATATTCAGGTTATCATGACTATATCTTCTGTTTTGAATTATTTGTTCCTTCATTAAGTATAAATGTTTTCTGAGTTTTGCCATTATCTGCTTGACAGCCAAGCCATCTTCTGCAAGTTCTTTCATTCACACATTCCTCTCCATAAACTGAGTGAATGTTTCTAGCCGTTTCGGCTGCTGAGTTTCCTTTCTTGAACTCATAAAGCATTATGTGCCTCAAATGATTCTTGGGTACTTCCATGTTAGCAGGGTTTTAATCAAACAAAATTTAATTTTATTGTTCTCTGAAATAAAATTTGATCAGTTTAAATGCATCTAAACATAAAAAATAATGTTCAGCTCCATTAGACATTATAAAATACTCTTTAAATTTCATTCATTTTAACAAAAAGTTAAAATTCGGACAGAACTTATGGGATGACCTGATAGGTTGTTGATGCACGCACCATCTGTGAGTGTAACTCTCTCACTACCTGAACACACTATCGGATTTTTAACCATGGCCACAACAAAATTGACTAAAATTATCAAACCCAACCCCACTAAAACAAAAGTAGACCCCAGATTCATTATCTCCTACAACAATATAAAGGACCTATTTTCCAACTTTCCAGAGGCAGAACTCCATCTTCTCAATGTCAAGGCTGACCTCTTACTCCTGCTTGAAACTGGTATCAATCTATCTATCTGAGTGCAGGAATTTGCAATATTAGGCTACTCACTCCTAATAGCAAAACATAGTCATTAAAATTGCCAATGATTGGGCGCTTATGTAAAAATGGGTTCCAATGTAGCAGAGACTGCAAAAATAAGGACACTGATCTCTCATATAAGTGCTTCCAGTACTTTTCATCTTCTCTCTCTATCACCCACAAAATGATGGAACTTTAATTTTAGACAAAATAGCTTTGATGATTGATAATATCCTCTCTGAGTATTCTTCACCTTGCATTCATATTTGTGGTGACTTTAATATTTCCCATAAAAATTGGCTAGTCCACTCAAACAAAACCGATGAAGGCAGATACTACTTCTCCATTGCTTGCTGACACAGATCATTGAAGAGCCTACCTGTGTTCACAATGCAACAGAACATCAGGTAAACCTTCTTCACCTCTTCCTCATATGAAAAATGTTTCACTGAAGTGTAACCCCCTCCCCCCGACACACACATACACACACACACACGCACGCACACACTGGGCACTTCAGACACTTCATTAGTCAGTGTTAAAGTTGTCACCAAAATGTACCATTTCATCAAATTATTTTTTAGTATATGAAAACTGACTGGGACAGCTTGATAACTTACATGGTGGAAGCTCCTCTCTCAGCATTCATCAAACATACTGAATGGATTCTTTCTGAAATGGAAAGTTTTAAACCCCAGAAAAAATTCTAGCTAGCCAAAAAATGAATAGCCAGTTGACTCCTGAATGTGGTGTAGCCACTACAATATCTGTCACAGGGAACTGTGTAGTAGGACACTTGCTGCATTCGAAACTGCTTGCAAACATTGCAACAGAGTTCTAGAAAATGCAAATTGCAGCTATATACAAGCAGTCCAGGCTAAATTCGAAAACAAACAATTTAGATCTTGGAAGTTCTGGAAAATCAAATTCTCAAAAGAGGCAAAGCATCAGTGCCTACTATCATAAATGGCCTTGAGGTCATCTCATCCTTGTCAGATTAGGCAAAGATCACAGTGAAGAGCTTTGCCTCCATGTTAGACAATAAAACAATCTCCTTCCCAACTTCTCTCATCTCACAACCTAGAAAGTCTCAAAACTTATCAAAAGCCTTGACCCTAAGAAGGCTATCAGTTCAAATAAAATCCCAGTGGTTGTCCTTAATAATATTAACTCTGAGTTATTCCTGATCTTAGCAAAACTATTTAACTGCTGCTTTAAGGAAAAATATTTCTCAAGTCTATAGAAGGTATCAAGTGTATGCCCTGTTTTAAAGAATGTATGTGTGCGTTTATCTCCATCTCAGTATCTACCAATCAGACTCCTTAGTGTCATTAGTAAACTTTTTGAGGTGATAATCAACAAGAAGGTTGTTGATCACCTTAACAGAGACAACCTCTTGAGTGACAAACAATATGAATTCCAATTGGCTCAGTTCACTACTGATATCCTGTCATTACTCATAGAATCAATGAGGCCCTAGACCAGGTGTGGGCAACCTTTTTTGAGAGTGCATGCCAAAACTGGCCAAATCTCTGGCACAAAATTTTTCCATGTGTCAACAAAACTTTTTAAGAACATATTTGATATCTCTTAAATATGTAAAAAACTTTTTTAAATGATAAAAAATCACCCCAGAGCAGTAAACACACAATTTTGTAAGAAATTATGTAAATCATGACTGAATGAAAAAAATTATAACTAGTTTTTATGAAAAGTTTTTTTGTGATATTTTTATTAGCTTGTAAGTATAAATGTAACTTCCATTAATACTCACACTATTTAAAGACACTATTAACTATTATAAATATCAACACAAAAAGTTAACACTTATTTTTTTTGATTAACCAATGATCATTTTTTTCTCAGTAATACATTTTTATGACTAAAACACAGTAAAAGGTTATTAAAAATAATCTTTTGCTTATTTTAAATTCTTTATAAATGATGTATAAAAAAAAACGAAATGTATTTATTTACTTTCAAAACTACATTTAAATAGCCCTGAATCTTTGCCACTTTCAAATGAAAACATTAGGTAAAACTAGAGACGGAAAACTTGTCCCTTTTTATATATTATCAGTGGGATGTCTGCTGCTGCATCACTGATGACAGAGATTTTATATCGGGTTTATATTTAATGAACACCCTAATAGTATACTTTGATCTGATGAGGATATTACTGCCAATGATACAACTGTATACAGGTGCACCTCCAAAATTCTAGGTAACCAGAGACTAGCAGTTGATCTCTCTTCTGATCTAGCTCAGTGAGGTAAAACTGACTGGTTACATTCAATATCACAAAAACTAAACTATGATATTCGATCATCACTGAAAGATTTAAAACCCTAGAAGCTATTATTATACAAAATAAGCAACTCACATTAAATAAAATATATTTCATCATGAGAGATGGTATTTTGAAGTATATATGAAATGTTGAAAATAACTGAGGTGGTTGAAAGTACTTGAACAAAACAACAGAACAAACATGAAATTCTGACAGTTTATCCATGATTCTAATCTCAATATACATCTTATTTAAAAATTTGAAAAATACATTAAAAAATTAGACAGACCTTGTTGTATCTTATCAAATTTGTTTGTAATAAATATATTTTTATATACTAGCAAATTACCTGCACCTTGCTCCATGTCACACATTTTTTTGTAAGAAAATGATGATTGATTTTAAATCATTGTTATAATTTGTGGAGGAAAATGATGCATTTCAATATTACTTAATGATCTTGCTGATGTGACCTCCATCTTCTGGCTTTCTCCTTCTATATTTTGAATAGGAGTCATTCCTTGTGTTCATATTTAAATTTAATTTAATAAATCAAAGAGAAAGAAAATATTTTCAGTAGTGGGCTTGTGCCCACTGAGGGCTCCCCTTGATCAAAATGAAATCTACTTATCCAAGTACCATAGGAGTCATTTCCTTGTTCAAATTTAAATTTAATTTATATCAAAGGGAAAAAAATTTTCTGTGGTGGGGGTTTGTTCAGACCCCCCCCCGGAGACCCCCCCCGGAGACCCCCTTTGATCAAAATGAAATATACATTTCCCAAGTACCCTGGGAAATGTATTTTCAATATATATATATATATATATATATATATATTGTTATGGGGGTCTATCTCCAAAACTCTAGGAGGAGTTCAATAACAAACAGACAGAAGCTACAAATATATATATATATATATATATATATATATATATGCTAACAGGTAAATTATTAAAATTAGTGTGTCTAATTATACTTTTTTTACTCATACTTATCCTTATCCTCCTATTCAGAAAATAAAGTAATTTTATAAGATTTGATCATTAATGCGGTTAGAAACTAACATATGCTACTGTAAGTAGCATATGATATTACAAAGAGCCTTAAAAATAAAGCAGCTAACCAGTTCATGTTTTATTCTCCACAACACCTTACATAACATTATTTGACAACATTCATTACCTTATGTCAAATGTCTTCTCCCAGGTTTTTGTTCTCATTTTTTAAAATTTTTATTGTAATTGAGGGGATATATTATATATCTTATATTTGTGTTATCCTATTTGATGCTTCCAATTTTTTTTCTAGGCCTCTTAAAAATACTCTGTTCTATGTAGATTTTGTGCTTGATGACAATGGGCCTCATTATAGCACAAATTTAGCTACATTTGAAACTTCTGTAATTGCACTGTTTGACAAAGGCATTAGTTCTACACAAGCTGTACCACAACTTGAAAAGGTTTGTTATATTTAATTTACATCTTTTATGTCATTAAATGAGGAATGAAAATTAAATTTTTATATAATTTTCATATAATGGTAAAAGCTGGAACTATGAGTTGTAACATAGCCTGTTTTTCTGCAAAATTTTCATTAAATTTAGGAGTATGCTACACACATTTTACCTTGTTGTAAAGAAAGAATTTTTAAAATTATATAAAACTTTAATTGCTGTATATAAGCCAACATTTTATTGCTAACAAAGCAAGGATGAACTTTGAGTGATGATTATGAAAATTATTTTATTCTTGACACTGTTATACTGTTTTACTAGTATTACTTTGGGAGATTTATATTGTATAACTTTTGTAGATTTTATAGATTGTTTAAGCTTTTTACTATATATTTGCATGTATGGAAGCAAGCAGACTGGTTTATTATATATCTCCATATTTTCTCAAGTTACATGGTAGCTAAAAAATTTCTTACTATTTTTGATTTATTAGAAAAAAAAAGTAGACTGCAAATTTGACATACTGTGAGTCCTCAAAGTAATCCCCATCAGCATCCAGAAACTTTTGCCAACATGCCTCCAGCTGTGCAATTCCCTGGCAGTAAAAATCAGGTGTCTTGAATGTGACAAAGTCTGTGAGTGCCTGCTTCAAGTCTGCCTCATTTGTGAAGGATTTCATACAAAGGTGGTTGTCCAGGGAATGGAAGAGATGATAATCTGTTGGCACAAGGTCTGAGGAGTAAGGTGGATGACACAGTGTTCCCCAGTCAAGTCACCCTATGGTATTCCTGACTATCCATACCACATGAGCCCTAGCATTGTCATGGAGAAACAGTACACCCTTGCGATTAACCAATGCTGGATCCTTCTGCATCAGTGCTGGTTGTACATATTACAACTACTGCAAGTACAGGCCCGCAGTGAAGGTTTGACCCATTGGTAGCAGCTCATAGTGCACCACTTGTTTACTTGTCCACCAGATACAGAGAATGTTGATGTGTGGGTGTAGAGGTAGTCTTGTTGTGTGGCAAATGGTCCTGTGATGATAACCAATGTCTGGCATGCTTGGGAATGTCATAGAGTACCCTTTTTGTCACTGGTGAGCACTTGATCAAATATGGGTATGCTAAGAAAGCAATGAGAAACAGACTGTCACTTGGCATTCAACAATGTGTGGGGTACCCATTTGCTCTACTTGTACACCCTCCCTATGTAGTGTAGATGAAGTCTAATTGTTTCATCAGAAACCTGGAAGCATTTGACAAGCTCACCACAGGTTTGGCTGTTGTCCTCCTTGATGGCCACCGCTAGGGCCTCATTCAGGACCTGTGGCTGGCCACTGTGGTCTTCATCACAGAGGGATATCTTCTGCCCTGAACTTCTAGAACCAATACCTAGTAGTGCATTCACAGAAGGAAAATATTCAGTGACTTGATATGGCTGTGGACAATCCCACCTTAAAGTCATAAAGTAGACAACCTTGAATGAGCTGCTTCAACACTACCTTCTTTCTTCATCGCTGCTTGAGCTATAACTGATGAGTATGTGTGATGCACATGCATTGGTCAAGAGCAATGCCCCCACCCACACCGCTTTCCTAGCACATTATGTATTCATTTGCATATCAGTGATCACTTCTTCCAATACACTGTAAAAAAAGGCAAGGACTTATACTTTTAATTTCATTCAAAAGTTCTTATTACATATAATATAGTTGCTCTGGGCAGTCCACTACAATATATTACAATTGTAACATATATATATTTTCCACTCTTAATATTCCAAAATTAGTAAAGGCATGTTTCAGCTATAGACACAGTTTCTCCGGAAAAGTAGATACAGGTTTGATTCCTAATGAAGGCAAAATCTTTCTTTAGTAGGATTTCTCAATCTAAGCATATTGTTATTAATTGTAATGCTTAATATGCTTATTAATTGTAATGCTTAATTGTAATATATATATATATATATATATATATATATATATAAATAAGTACAAGCAGAAAACCTTTAAATAAAAACATTACTCCTGTGCAAGAAGTAATATATAAATACAAGTTACTAAATAAAATTTATACATTTTCCTTGATAAAGTTCCTCAAGGACATGTTGTTTGCTTGTCTTTTCTTTTATTAATATTGTCTTTACAGATATATTTTATTTATATCTGATTTCTTACACACGACACACACACACACACATATATAATGATATATGAAAAAACAATTAAGATACACTACAAATATGAAGATAGTTTTTAATCTTGAAGCATAAGTCATGATAACGATAAATTTGTAGCTCTAATTTATTATAAATTCCTTCAACATTTTGAATACTATTAAAATATTATACATGTATGGAAGAAACAGAAAAATATCATTAGAAAAAAAAAAAGATTGCTGAACTGCTGTGTAATATCCATTCTCCTTTATGGCAGATGAAAAAGAGACAAGAGACATATGGCTTCTACAGAGCATATAATCAACACTTCTACTTAGAATAAGAAAGTTGAAATTTTTAGGATATGTAATGAGGGTTAGAAAATCTTACCCTCACAGAATATATTGAAAGCAAAAGGAATAGAAAGAATGATTTACCTAACAAATTTGTGTAAATGGATGGCAGAACAAGGGCTGGGAGAAATAATAAGGGGACAAATATTGCTAAGAGTTACAAAGGATAGGAAGTTATGGAGAGCTATGATCACCCACATCCTGAAGCGGTATAGCATATATAATAAGATTGAGGCTCATTTCAAGTTTCTTCCTATAATAAAACTTTATTTTATAACCTTTCAAGTATAATTTATTAGAATGAAGTAGCTGTTCAGTGCATAAACAGTGTAAAGCTATTCAACTGTCAATATTTCTTTTCTCAATAGTAAGAGTACAGATATTAAAAAAGAAAATTTGAATGTCAGTTGTTTATAAATACAACATCAAAACTGCTCTTTGGACTTTAGTAAGGAAATCAAATGCAGAAGTGGCTTCTGTACTTGAGAGCAAAATTATTAACCATCTCTCTAAGAAAATTTTTTTAAAAAATATTTCCAAAGTGCTGTTTCATAGAGCAAGGAATTTTCAATATAGCATTTCTAAATATTTAGGAAATTATATTATTTTACTTTGCACACAGAAACAAAATTAATTCACAAAACTCAAAAAATACTAGTCCAATTTATTAGCTTCCTTTGCACTTCAATGATAATACTTGTGTCTCACTTTTGCTTAATAACAGCCTGCATCTGTTCATTATATTTTTTATTAAATTTTAGGAATATTTCCTGACGAATCCTGTCTCATTCTTCTTTGGCAGATTTTTCTTTAGATTTGATGGTCACTCTGGCATGGACCCTGGTGTTCAGTTCAACCCACAGAATTTCTAGGGGATTTAAGTCAGGGCTAACATTCAGTTTGGCCTATCTGGATGATATGCTTCAAGTATATCACCTAATAGTCCATTCATGTATAGGGTTTTAATGGCGGTCTTCTTTGAGACTTCAATTCTGAGCTTGGCTCAGTCGTTCACTAGGGTCTTGGCAGTTGTTCATTAGATATATCACTCACTAGTTTTCTTTTTGGACTCTTTGAAATCTTTCACTTCCTAACATTCTTTAATGTGTTGCTCTCCTTGATAATACTTCTCATTACAAATGTTGAAACACTTTGATAACTTTGTATATCCTTCTCCTGCTTTGTGAACATCAACAACCCTTTTCCTTAAGTCTAAAATAATTTCTTTTGTTTTTGACATGATGCTTTCGAGAATAACATCTAAATCCTTACTTAAGTTGTAATACTGCATTTATACTGAAAGATAAACCTCAGTGGTAACTTCAGTTTACAAGCTTAGAGCATCAATAAGTTAAAGCACATTGGTACACAACTAGTTTGTGTGATGATTCAACAAAAAAGATAGTTCTTTAGTGGGGACTAATAATGTTGGACCTGGTAGGTTTTGTCCTCAACTGTATGTCTGAACTCTTTTGTGTATCAAAATGAAAGTATTCTGAAAAGAAAAGTTTATACTATTTTGGGCTCTTAACAAGAGAAAATATTTACAAAACTGAGTGAACAAAGGAATTATGGGTCAGTGACAATAAAAAGAGAGAAGAAAGCACAACCAGGAGGATTTATTTTTCTGAGTTTGTATGTGATTGAGACTGTTGCGAACCCGGCAGCATACAGTGCTGGTTTATTACAAAGTGGCCTTGTGCCAGACACCACACTAAACTACCGAGTCCACAAGCAATGTAAAAAAAAATAATAATGCGTGAATGAACAGTGAGAGGAAAGGGGTCAATCAACAAGTGCATAAATTAATAAACATCAAAGAGATAGCCGGAATAAAATGACAAAGACGTCTGTTTGTAAAATATGAGTAACTTTAATTAGATGGAAACAAGTAGATTACCTCGTGGTACGAGATTAAGGAAAAGTTCCGCGCCTAAATAGAAATGCAAGATGAACAAGGCGGGAAAAAGAGTTTTATAAGGTTCTGGAAAAAGGAACTCGTTAAACACGAGGTGTATGTGCGCACAGATAGAAAGGATTTTTTTTTTTTTTTTGGTGTTGTAAGTGTGTGTGGTATTTTTGTGTTCAGGTTCATAGTTAGAATGAATGTTCGGTCGTCTCAGAGTTTTTGGTGAGGCATTGAATTGGCTGCTGGAAATTTTTACAGGATTGCTGTGGGCATCTAGCCGGGAGAAACGAAGAATGTTTGAAGCGAGTTTCATGGTCTTGTGGAGTTGTTTACGGCGAGCCCAGGGAGACGAAAAATGTTTGTTCATAAGTAAGAATATCCCTGTCTGTATTTACTGGTTCACTGACGAGGGGTAAGTGTAAGTCACCTGTTGAACACGAAGTTTTGCCCACGACTGTGTCATGTGTCTCGCACATTTTCTAGCAGAAAACGGAGACGGTCTGACCTGCGGATAGCAAGTTGTTCGTCAGTAGGATATCCCTGTCTGTATTTACGATTGACTGACGAGGGATAAAAATAAGCCACTTGTTGAATACGAAGTTTTGCTCACGACTGTGTCGTGTGTCTCGAATGTCTTCTGGTCGAAAACGGAGAAGGTCTGACTTGCGGGTAGCATCAAGACGAGAAGAAGTCTTGGTAAAGTGTGAGGTCGTCATTGTTGAAATAAGATATTCCGGCCCGCATATGGGTTAAGGGCACGGAATAAATGAGTTGCCTGTCTAGTCAGGTTGAAGATCGGGAAGCAACTGGTTGACCTGAGGGTAACGTCAAGATGAGAAGAAGTCTTGGTAAGGTGTGAGGTCGACATTGTTGAAATAAGATATTCCGCCCGCATATGGGTTCAGGGCACGGAATAAATGAGTTGCCCGTCTAGTCAGGTCGAAAGTCGGAGGCAACTGGCTTGCAAACGCTGGCGTTTGAGACGCCTTAAAACGCCAAGGGAAAAAATTCAAAAATCTGTTAGTCTGACTTCATCAGGAGGAGCTAGCGGTTCTTCCTCAGGTCACTGCTACGTCTAGCTGTGAGAGAAAGGAAGGGGTGAAAACCGCGTGCACACACGCACGAGTGTGAAAGGAAGGGAGGAAACTCGCGCGCGCGTAAAATATAGATGGAATTAATGTGTTAATTCCATAAGACAAAGTTTGAAGGCAGTTGGAGTGAAGAGAAGAGAACATTTCGAAACACATTGAATAGAAATTATTTCTTGGCAGAACTCAGACCTTCCTTTTTGTGTGCAGAAAATTTTACTTTCTAAATATAGGTCTGTAGAATGGTATTTTAACTTTTGAAACAAGTCTTGAGATATTCTTTGAATTCTTTCTTTTATATATCTTAGTAACATTATTTTCAGTTCATTAGAGAGAATATGATTAGATATTATGATCCCCTTCCTAGAGCTATAGTTTAAAACATTTTCTGCCAGGGAAGAAGCATTATCTTACAAGAGTTGACATTATCATTTCCATTATTTATTTAATGTAGTATCAAAAGTTGCTGAAAATTTCTATAACTCATTTCATATAAATTTTGACATAAATGAAAAGCCAAAATTTTATCAATGAAAGTACTTTTCAGTATCTCATCATAAATTCCATTAAATATTGATGTACATCACTGAAGTTTAGATATGTACAGCCATATTCTAATATTTGAACTTATATTCTCTTTGTTTTGGAACCTTTTACATATTTAAATTGATGCTCACTTGAAAAGTTTTAATTCATTTAATTAAGGATTTTGCATATCATATGCACATTCTTTTTTCATCCATAAAATGTATCTTCAGTGTACAGAGTAAAATCATCTCCCTCTATCTGAAATGGGCTTGGGTCTTAATCATTTCTTTTCATTGCAGTTTAGTTTTTTCCTAATTGTTTATTATATATATTAGGTTTTGTTCTTTTACAAATTTACTGCTAAAATATTCTGTGCCCCAAATCAGAATGTACTAATTAAGGCACTAGAAATGACAGAGATATATGTAGACTTTAGAAAAAACAGACCTTGTAATAAAGTTGATATATGAAGTTGATCTGACATGGACAATGGAGAATGTATATTGGTTCATTGATATTTCTATATTTTGTAAGTTGTATCAACTTTACCACATTTATAAAACACTATTAACAATTACACACCTTAACATTTATGAACAAATATACATTTATATTTTTATAAATATCAATACATCAAATCCAACTTAATGCAATGAAAATATATGATTATTAAATGCCATTTAATCTTTTTTAGTATATTTTAGAAGATATATTCTGGTCTGGAACACCTTTATTAGAATCTGTTGGAGAACATGAACCACATGTAGAAGTATTGCGTGAAACTATACGACTTGCAGTGCACCAGTCCCTCATTCCAATGAATGCTTACGCTGAAAGATATAAAAAATATGTTGATATTTACAATCTTGATGTTACTAAATATATCAAGTAAGTTTAAATGTTTCCATATACATCAGCATATTAATTTTACTTTAATGAACAAAATATAATTAATTTTTTCAAAGAAAAATTTAAATATGAATTATTCATTTCAATAATCAGTTTCACATATTTACAGATAAAATAATATTAAAAATATTTGCCATCCATTTTTTTGGCATATATTTCACTAAATGCAGACAGAGTAATACACAGTGTTTGTAACCTAACACAGTTAAAAAGCATCATTATGAAAGGCTAAAAGAACTTCAGTTTAGAAATATGTCTTCAAATGCTTCTGTGTAATTCATACAACAGCTAGAAATGATTGAGAATTTCAACAAGTCTAAAAGCTGATGGAAAGGTTTAAGAATTGCCAATATATACTCATTAAAGAGGAAAAAGACAAAAGCTATTATTGTGTGTACATGAGGAAAAAAATTCCCAGTGTTTGAAAAGACATGTAGAAATTGTGCAAGAAAGAACCAATTCCAAGCTGTATGCAGTGTAAAAAAGAAAGACATTGCAAGGGTCACTCAGAAGCAATGTTGAGATGAAAATGAGAGAGAAATATTTTTGTTGAAAGAAAAGAACATTTTTAATGCAAGTTAAAATAGATAACACCAATTTATATATGCAAATCAATGTAGAAAGTGAAGTAATGCTCATTCGCAGAATTTTTTTTGAATGACGAGGAAAGTCAAAATTACAAAAGACTTATCTTGAGCTTCAACAATTTGATGATTCAGTCATAAAAATGCTGAGTTAAACAAAAGTTTTAAGATACTTGTTGTAAAATGTAATAAGCATCAAGGACTTGTTGGAAATGATATACTCAAATTTAATTCCACAAAATTACTTAATGCTGTGAATACTGAAGAAATTGGCATGCTTGAGACTTGTTTTATTTTTTAAAAAACAAGTCTCAAGTCAGATGAAATTGTAACCTCCTCCTTCAACCAAGCAGGGAGAGTACCCATACAGTTGGTCCCATTTATAATAGCAAATCTAAGAAAATTAGTGGAACAAGGCTTTGAATATGTTCCACTTGGTGGCAGTAAATAGGCATCACCTATTGTGCTTTTGTGAAAAGTAGATGAAGACATTGGAAAATATGCAGATTTGTGCCCAATTTCAAATGTTGAAGTAGTATTACATTTGTTAGCAGGAATTAAAATCTTTACAATGATAGATGACTACTTCAAAGATGTAACAACAATTGACATGCTGATATGTTTATTGAGGTGGACAAGAAGCCGTATGGAATAAAAATGTCTAAAGAAGCATAGAACAAATCATTAAAGATTTTATAAGAAATATTGTGTGCTGTCAAGATGATGTTTGCATAGCAGTTAGAAATTAAATAGCGCTAAAAAAAGAAAACTGAAATTGTGTGGAGATTAAGAAATTTGCGATTGAAAATAAAGTGGAAAAAATGTGTGCATCACAGCACTGAAATATCGTTTCTGGGATATTCCTTTTCAAAGGGGGATTGTTACCAGATCAAGAGCTAATAGAAAAAATGCAGAAAGTATCAGCACCAAAAAATAAAAAAGAACTGCAGTCCTTTTGGGGAGTATTAAATTTTAAATGATACTTTGAGGTATACAGAATTGTCAAGTTAAGAAAAATATATGTAGAATTTGTATGGGAGGAAATCTAACAAAGAGTTTGTTTGACTAAAATTAACTTTGGCTAAAAGATCAGTATTCAAATGATATAACAATGACTACAGTTACTGGTGAGCATTCAATATTAGGAACACAAGGATGACATCCAGTAAATGTATCTATCAAGAAGGTTGAGTGCTAAATTGATTTATTCAAACATTGAAAGGTGGCTTTGGCAATTGTATGAATAACCACTAGTGCCCATCGAAAATTGGATTTTAAGATAAGCAATAAGACTGATGGCTTTCAATTTTAACATAGAATATGTCAAGGGTAATTCTGTACCAAATGGGGATGCACTGTCAAGATAAGTTGTAAAATAAGAACACAGATAAAAACTTTGAAGATATTTTCTGTATTCTCATTTGACTACTTATAAAACTGCACAACTTATGTAAAGATATAAGAAATTTTGCACAAAAGAAGTTACATTTGTATCATAAATAGCGAGAGCCATGGATCATGTATACATCCGTGAAGGGGGACTTTTCTTAATATTAGTAAATTAACTTTCAGGATGACCTAAAGTAATTTGTGTGACACACAAAAGAAGTTCTACAGGAAAACATGTGTTAAGTTGTATTTTCAAAAAATAGACCCCTAAACTTTGGTATTTGACAATGTACCAGACTTTTGTGATGAAGAACTCAAAGCATGGCTGCAATATTTAAAATGCAGGCTTTACAGGACACATCCATATCATCCTCAATTAAATGGTATAGTGGAAAAAGATGTTACAAAGCATAAAAATTGTCCCAAAAAGAGAAAATAGAAATCTTTCTATCAAGGCTGTTCCTAAATTAGGGAACCATATCACATGTTTTGAATATTGGTACAGTATCGCTGATTTTTTTCCCTATCATTTATCATGCAAATATTTTTAACAACATTTGCCAATAATTTTATTCTTTTATCCTTTTCTTATTTATTTATTGTAGTAACATAACATTTTTTAAGGACGAGGACGAATTTTCAAATTTATAAGAAAAGCGTTTTCCGTCATAATGTTTTATTTACTTTTTTTTTAGAATTGCTTCAGATGAGAAGAGTCAATTTCTTCCTCTATTATTTATCTTCCAAATATTTTTAACAGCAACAATGATAAAAAATGTTCTCATATATTTGATGATAATTTTATACTTTTATTATTTTCATATTTATTGTTTGGTTTCTAAAGTAATGATAATAATAATGTGGTACATTTAATGACGAACTCTTTACTCCGACATCCAGTGTAAAATATATATATGTGTTTATATATGTTTTTATGTGTGTATCTCTGTTGGTCACTACTTGTGGTGGTGGTGGGACTTGCATGGTCCAGTAACACTGTGAGCAATGCCGTCTGGAGTTCTGCATGTCTCATTCCATATGTGCCACAGGGCAAGTTCATGAAATCAAGTGTGTGGGTAACTTCCTGGCAAGTTGAGGTCCACCTTAAACAAATTCATGTCATCAGCACTTTCTTCTAATCTGATTTTCTTTCACCTCCAACCAACTCTTGCAAAGCAAATTGCAATAGGAAATGGATGGCAGGAGCGGGTTTTGGTCAAATTGGAAGCTTCTAGTCTTGAACCTGCATGTTTGAAGGCAAATTTACTCATCAACTCCATCATCATAAAGGAAGCAATCAGCAAAAAAGAAGTTAAATTCTTGGATATGCCAACAACAAATTATATATAAATGTAAGAGTTTGATAATTTGCATATGGATGAAAGACACTATATAAATTTGAGTTGTCATGAGAGGGAGAATTTTATTAATAGTGATTGTGAGTGACTAGTGAATATTACTACTACATCTCATGACAGAAACATTTTAAAATATTTCAATAATTTCAGTTATTATATATGCATTTCTTTTCATATGATCATTTCTTCATGTTTAGGCTTTTGTTTTTCTTTTGGAATCAGTGACTTTGCTGCAGAAGAGCATACTGCTCTTGAAATACAAGCAGAAGTTGAGAAGCACCTACATGAAAAAGAAATTCTTGAAGAAAACATTCCAACAAGTATTGTTATTGGGCCATTCTGGGTTGCTACTGCTAATGTACGTGAATTGTTAGCCAAGAAAAAGAAGTCTTTGAGTATCGCGTTACTCGACCTTTTGTCAAAGCAGTTGCGTAAACGATGTGACAATGTAAGTGATTTTTTATGATATATTCAATTTTTTATTTAATTATGTAGAAAAATTGAAATAAAAAATATTTTAATTAAATTTTATTTAGTCTTAACTGGAAAGTGAACAATTTCATAGAAAATTCAAAGCTGAAGGAAATGAAGAAATTAAAGTAAACTCACTTAACTAAGTCACAAGCACATCTGGATGTAGTTATTAAAAAATTACAACCTCATTAAATGTGTCAATAATGAACACTAGCACAGTTTATGAATTTCTGCTATGAAGAGATTACTGAAGAAGCAATTGATAGTACTGTAATGGTACTGTAAATTCTTCAAATGGAGAATAAAGGTGGAATTTTTTCAGCTGTGATCATCAATCAATCTTTTCAAATGTGATTTTTGCTGTATAGGCAAACATTTTTTTCTGTTTTTCTTTTAGCTTAAGGAGTGTTGTGATATGAAAACACTTGAATATACAACCTAAACTTCTAATAAAAATTAAAACAGTTCAGTTTGAGGCTAGGTTATGCTTATCTTTTCTAAATCTTTCAAACTATATTTGGCAATATCTTATTTAATGAATCTAATAAACATCATGAGCATTTGAGGTTGATTCTGCAGCCTTATTACTTTTTCTAAACTCATACTGTTTAGTAGATATGTTCATCTTTAGAAGGGTCAAGTGAATAACTAATGTACTTAAATCTTAATAATATTTAATATAACAATGTCAGAAATTAGGGTAAGAAAAATATAAAATATCTATGTTTAACTAGAATTTATTCAACATAGGTTCTATCATTCTACTGATGTGATTCATGACACAAAATACCAGAGCTGCAAATTGAATTTAATATCTAACATGAAAATTTAATCTAAGAGGAGTTGACCTTTGATGATCCCAATATGTACTGGATTTACTCTAAGAGATACCAAAGTAAACTTTGTACTTAGTGTCACCTCAGCATGTACAATAACTGTTTTTAATTACACATACATCAATACAATCATTGAAAATGTTGTATAAAATATGTGTAACAAGAAATAAAATATAAAGTTTAAAACATTTGCTAAAAACAGAAATGTGATGATGCCCCCAGACTTAGCATATGACACTTTAAGGACCCCAGCTGCAGCTCCTAACAAAGAACAAAGCCCAAGCACTACGCATGTTTTTGTGTTTGTTTTTTACAATGAAGATGTACAATTTTTACCTATAAAATTGACTTTTATATGTTTTAAGTCACTTAAATAACAGGAAAATAATACAAGAATATTTTAAATATGTTCAATCGAAAAAAAATGCAAATCGAGGGAGTTCTCAGTGAATAATTTGTACAAATGTTCTTCAGAAAAACACACAAATATTTGGGGTTTCCGCAAATAACAAGTACATATGTTCTAAAGAAAAATCCGTGAATGTGTGAAGCTGCGAATGCTGAAATGCGAATAGGCAGGGGCTCACTGTAAATCAAAAGAACTAGGTGCCTTAGAGAGTTAAGCTTGAAAGTGACCTCATAGCCAACAAGTGCATAATCATGCACCAACATAAACAGAAATTGAGCTAGTTGAACTTAGGATATATATCCACATGGTAACTGGATGACAAGAAATTATATAAATGCCCAACTCACAAGGGGAAAGTTGAGTACCTCACATTCTCATGAGAAGATCAAATGTTTGAAGAAAGTCCCTGAAACCACATTCCCTTGACAGAGTTCAGAAGTGAATAAACAATTATATTATGTATGAAAAATTTAGTTTTCTATTCTGATCAGATGTTACTAACATAACATTTCAATCTATTGCTATCAGATTTTGGATAATAATTATGGGATGGCCTGACATTAATTTTTGAAAAATTTTAGTGGCATTTATAATAATAATTTAATAAATATAATGTTAATAAAAATTTGATACTTCATTTATTTTTGTATGTGATATTACTTGAGAACTGGTATGAGACTTTTATATGGGAAACTGCTTTCAGAAGCAAGAATAATATTTCCAAATATTGCTTCATGTACAAAATTTCCTTTTTTTATTTTATAATTATTGCATTACTAATATCTCTTCAACTACTGTCATTAGGAATATTTCATTAATATATATTATGTTTTGTCATCACAACTATTTTATAGGTCTCTGAAGAATTCAAAATAATCAGTCGCAAATTGTCAGAAAAGCCTAACTGTATTGAAGAACTGGATGAACTTCGAGAATGGATGAAAACTATTCCTGAAAAATTAAAGGAACACCAAGTAAATAGGCATCTTTAGAGACATAAAATAGTCTGATCAAATATTTTCATTTCTTAAAATTTTTGTACTGCATTTTCTTTAGTTAAAAAACTGTAAATAACTAAATACTGTTATTGCTGTAAAGGTTTTTTCTTAATAGTATGCTTTGTTATATAAAAGGTTCATTGTTCAGTGACATTTTAATCACCAAAAATAAATGTACTTCTATTTAGAAAATTTATGAAAAATTTCTTACTCCTGTCAGCAGTTTTAAACTAATCTTTTATATTAGTTGACATTTGATAACTAAATATAATCTTCAATCGCATTTTCATATAAAAAGTGACCAATATGACAGTTATTGTATTATTCTTTAGAAAACTAATGATGCATGCTTGATTACTAAAAAATATTTTTTCTTGGATTTAATTTTAGGAGAACATTGACAAGATAATGCATGATTATGGACTTTTGGAGAACTTTTTCTACAACCTTTCAAATGATGATTTTCTTTGCATGTAAGTATGCACACACACACACACACACACACACACAAAATCTTTTATTCATATAAGTATTCAGACATCAGAGTATTTTATGACCTTATGTCACATTTCAAATAAATTGTGCATTCCATTGTAAAAAACAGTTTTGGCTTTTATATGATGAATCTTTCAAAGGACATTTCAATATCTTGAACTGCTAAGGGTCTTCTCACTTATCAGCTATGGAATCACTGGAAGGTTCTTCTTAACTATAAAATCCTTCCTGAAGGTAGTTATTAGCAGCCAGTTTTCCGAAGCCCTGGTGGCCAACACAGGTGTCCTCCAGGGATCACTTCTTGGACCAACCCTCTTTCTGATTTACATAAATGACTTGCCTAAGAATATACTCAGATCATTTGTAAACATCTATGCTGGTGATACAACAATATATGGGTGCATCTTTAAAACTCTTGACAATCAGAGATTGGCAGCTGACTTCTCTTCTGATTTTGCGCTAACTCCCAGTAGAGAAAAAACTGGGTGGTTACATTCAATGCCCTAGAAACCAAATTACTTACATTCTATCACTAATTGGACCCTGAACTGCTGTCAGTTATTATGAATGGATATCCTCTCGATGAGGCACCGTGCCTTGTGAGAATATTGGAACTCAAGTAGAACTCTTACATATAATCCATTGCTAAAGATCCAAGTTGAATGATCAGATACATGTACCACTCCAGTAAGTATCTGACTCCTCTACTTTTACAAGAGCCAGATTAGACCGAAAATGAAGTACTGTTGTAATATTTGGGTGGGAGTTGGCCTAGTCCTCACTTTCCAGTCTTGATAGATTTCGAAAGTGTCTCTGTGTCCTTGTGTGTGACAAATTATTTTCCATGCTCCAACCTCTTTCTCACAGGCAGGATGTGGCAAGCCTCTCACTGCTCTATTGTTACTTTTATGGAAAGTGCTTGGACAAGCTACATTCCTTGGTTCCGCCTGGTCTAAACTTCATGGCTAGGATCTGTCACGCCACTTACAGTGAAGCAAACTACCCACATTCCCTCTGCATTCCATCAGTGAGATGTAAGTTCCACTCAAACAGTTTCTTCCTGTGAACCATTGCTCTGTGAAACAGACTCTTAAAAGGATGTTTCTCCAATCGCTACAATCTTAACCTATTCAAGTGTAGAGTTAAACATTATCTTCCACTCCTATTCATATGAACTACCCCTTAATGTAACCCTCTATCTCAAGTGGCCCCAGGCCTTGTGCAGGGTAAACCTTAGTGTAAAACCAAAAGGGAACTGGGTGTGTTACTTAGGGCAAAACAGATAATAGTTTAAAGGTGAGAGATCTGGAGAATATGCTGTATGTAGAACTTCTTATCCCAGCTACATGATTGATTGCTACATTATACATGTAATATGAGGTTGTGAACTGTCATGAAGCTCAATAACCAATCACCCTTGCCTCCCAAAATTCTTTTCTCATCAATGCATCATTCAATAAGTCAGTTGCTCTCTGAAGCACTATGCAGTAACAGTTTTTTCCACATTCCAGCAATTTGTAATAAAGAATTTAAAAAAAATCTTACTAAACATAGTAAAAAACTTTCAGATTCATTTACATTGAGCTGCTCAAAGCTGTCCTAGATCAAACTATGATTTTCTTGATTTTAAATTCTCTTATTAAATCTTTATCTTTTTTATTTTCAATGATAATCATACTTGACCTTTTTCTCTGTTGATAAGAAAAAGATAAATATTTAAATGTTAATGGATTTTCCTTTCCATTTATTAATATGGAACTCATATTTCAAGCTGCTGAATTAACTGATTGCCAGTTTTCTTCAAAAGTTTCTCCAATTCATAAACTTCAAGTTTTGGTTTTTAAACTTTGCAGAGCATTCTCAAAACATGCTTGCAGCAAAAATAATATAAGCTTCAGTAATTTATTGCTTTGCTTTGCTTCTGCTGCTCTTTTTCCCAGTTTGACCCTTTAGCATTCAGCCTTCCCTGTAACTATCAGTTCTTAATGTTCAATCCATTGTAACCTACCTCATATATACTCTGTCATATATGGCAACATCATTGCAAATAATGCAGGAAGTCATACAAATAGTGAGACATTGAGAGCCAATATTTACATGGCAGGTTTCAGCATGTTGAATGCTAAAGGATTAAACATGAAAAGTAAACAATGTTGAATATATGCATTTTATTCTCAGTTATGTATTTTACTCAAGTAAAATTACCGAGTAAAATTATCACTTTAACATTTCCTAATGAGTATGCACACACAAGCAATAAAAAGCTGAGTAAACCTCATAGACATTTCTAAGATTTTCCCAACATTGTACAAAATATGTTACTGGGAACTTTTGCATCAGTATACACACATGGATACATGCTATTGAATAACATCATAACTATTTGTATATATTTTATTGGTAGTTTGTATATGGACAATTGAATAGGTTAAGTTATACAGTGTTTCTTTACATACTACTTCCTTTAGTTTTGGTTATTCTTAAGTAAGAATTATCAAACAAAACATATTTTTGTGAAATATTTCTTTTACATTGTCTGAAAACTATAGAAAGTACTATAATGTAGTGTTATAATTATTTATTTTTAAGATATTTTAGATATTTAGAAGAAATTAAAAAATTTGAACTTTAAAAAACGAACTAAATTTATTATGTGCTGCTAAAATTGAACTAAGCAATTATGTTTTTTCCACAACTTTCTATTCTTTGAAGCTTATCAATATTTTTCACCCCCTCTCCCACCATCAATTAAACTAGCTCATTAGGTAGATTACTCAGTTTTCCCCTATCCCTCTTGTCTTCAATATGTCCTGTGAATGTCAAATTTTCCAAGCCTTCTTTCCTCATTGTGTCCTAGATATTTCAACTGTCTTTTTCTAAGTATAATAATCTTTTTGTTTCCATTTTACTTAAAAAATCTTTGTTGTTTGCATACATGGTATTCTCAGCATCATTCTGTAGAACCACTTCACTGTTCCTTTAAGTCTCCTCTTTATAACTGTGTCCAACATTGACTGCCAAATTTTTCTGTTTCTTAGTACTTTATTTAGCTTTTAGAATGCATCTTTTACTATTCCAATGTTGTCTTTGGATTTTAGTGTCACATTTTCCATTTTTGTTAAAACACTTTTTTGAATACTCTCTCTCTTCTGGGGAGGTCTTTTAGCTGCATTCTTTTCTCTCAGCTATCTTCTCCTGGTCAGATCATCTCTAGTTTGTTTGAAGGTAAAATGAGAACTTCAACAAAAGGAATTTTAAACTTATCTATTTTATTAAACACATTGATATGTACATCTTCTAACTAGACAGTGAAGTTGCTATCTGATCCCACTAGGGAGCAGTTTCCTTAGACATGGAATAACCACATTTAATGTGTATGACGTATAAAACTTAACTCCTGAAAACACTTTCTATCTTTCTAACATTCCCACATTTGGTTCAGCCAATCAACATTGACATCTTTATTTTACCTATAATCTTAAGCTCAGCCTCAGAAGATCTGAACCAAATATGCTGCCACTAAAAAATAAAAGTCTGAAACTATTATTTAACAACTTCCCAGATATTCAAACTTCTGTACTTGCTTGATATTGACATTTTCAATTTGTAGCTCACATTTTGGGCTTTTTTCTCTTGTTGAGAACCACACATATTCTCTCTTTTTAGACTTTTCTTCTCACTTTACTGTACTATCTTGTGTAGGTGATCCTGTAGATTTTTTTCTGTCTGCCATCTAGACAGTGTCATCTGAAAATCTTATTTTGTTAGGATAGCACCTGCCAATACTAAATCCTTATACAGTTTCTAGCTCCCTTAGGATAGCCTTACTAGAGAGGGTGAATAAATCTGGTAAAAGGACACATCTTTGTCTTACTCTTCTTTCTATTTTCGTGTAGATATTCAATTCATTTTCTATCTGTATGCATGTGATTTGCTCACAGTATAAGTTCTGAATTATTATAATAGTAAAACTTCTTGCCGGTTGGTCCTGGGTTAATTCCTGCGCCGCTTGATACTGCTGTTTGGACTCAAGGTTTCCTCAGTCTTCCAACAAGATTTCTTTGTTGTCTGGCTTTGGAAAATTAATTATCTTGGGAGATCCCTTTTCTTATTGGTAGTGGTTGCAGGTACTGAGCCACCTGTATAACTCATACCCTCTTTCATTTATACTTTGCATTATTACTTCCCAATGGGCATAGGCAATTCCTCCATCTCTCTTGATATCTCATCTAAGCCTTTCACTTTGGTTGTCATTTTGACAAGTCCAATTTTTAAACCACACGGGTGAAATAATGTAGCTTAGCTTCTAGTCAGTAATTGTAATTATCTTTAATTTCAACAACAAATTTTCTCAGTCCCTGGTCTTGTTTATGCAATCAGAGATTTACCATCTGTTTCCTCTGACCCGCCATTTGTCTGTATATCTCTTTTGCTCAATTGCACTTATGAACCTTATTGGTCCTTTTCTTATCTTAATTTCTTCAAGCAAGGTATAAAATTTTATTTCTTGAATTGTTTACAATCTTCTGCTTTTTGACAGGCAAAATAAATCAGTTCTTTTAACTTTTGCCTTTGTTTCTGAAAACTCCCAAATATTATTTTTTCAATCAAATTCCTTTTTAGAAGTTTTCTTAACCCATACTTTTAGTAGTGGCCATAATTTACTTTCTCTATTTTTGCTATGTTTAGCAAATTTCTGTCGGCTGACTCTGAGTGCTCTTCCATCATCTCTCCCCTGCTTGATGTGGGTTTAAATTTTCCAGATGGCTTTTTTGGCAATATCATTTTCGGAACAATAAAACCATTTTCTGTTTACTTCTTTCAGTTTATGTCATTTAATATCTTTAACTCTTTTCATCTTGTTCCAAGTTACATTTTAATTTTAACCCTTTTTCAACTGTTCCAAGTTATATTTTAACTTAACCCTTTCTTTTCCATTTACCAATGTCACATAGTGTCACAATATCCTTCCAAAATAGATCAAGTTTTCCTAGCAGTTCAAATAGATCCTTCTGCTATTCTTTATCAAATGCTTTTGCATAATTTATGAAACATAAGTGTACACCATTCTGCTCTCTTTGATACCATTCTGATCATAAATATAGCATTTCTTGTTCCAGTGTCCTTGATAAAACCACACTGTTCTTATCCTATTTCTAGTATCATACTCCTTCATGCTATATTCATCAGAATTCGGATTATTAGCTTGGTTATGTGGTTCTTGTCCTGGCATTCATTTTTACCCTCCTTCTTGGGTAGCTCTACAAGCATGAATCTACTAAGATCTTTCATTATGGTGTCTCCATTGTACATTTCATTTATTATTTCCTTTATATAATATTTACATTATATTTAAGAGCATTATTATGATTCATTTTGGTTTTGTTGCTTTGTTCCTATTCATCTTGTCCAGTGCCAATCCTACTTTAGACTTTAATATTTCTAGTCCTTCCATATTTTGGGGTATTGTTTCTTTTCTCTCATGAAATAGTTCTCCATTGTATTTACTCCATCTTTGAAGTATTTTTTCCCTTTCTATTATGAGTGTTCATTTTGATTTTATATAACCTGTTAATGAGCACATCTTTTGCCCTGTTAATACTTACCTCATTTATTCTATTTCCACACACTCTTTCTATTTCCATACACTCTTTCTATTTTCACATACTTTTTGTTGAATCATTCTTTTTTAGCCGATGTCTGTTTCTAAATTTTGTGTTTAAAGTTCTATAATCTGTACCTTTCCTGTCTGTTGTTGCATTTTCATGATCTTGAGAATTTCATCTCATCTCATCCATTCTTTTTTTTTTTTTATCTAATTTTCCTTGGGTTTATCTCATTTGCCAATGTCCCTAGTGCTTCTCTCAATGTGTTCCATTTTGAACTTCTAGTCTCACTCAAATTAACTCTATCTATATACATCTCTTTTCAATGTGAATCTATCTGGAGACTGTTGTATTGTAGTTTAATTGTTGCTTTGGTATTAATTTTTGTGATTTTATTCTGTGGTCGCATATAATTGGAAATTGGTGGCTTCCAATTAAAACAATTCAGTTTCTGTACTATGGTAACAAAAACAGCTACATTATTGCTATAATTAATACCAACTGCCTTAACTGTGGTTTGAAACATGTGTTCTAGTTAACTATTCCCCTCCTCCAACTCAGTAAGATTCCATCAGGCAGCAGGAGGTGTGTCTAAACTTGCTAATGAAAATTGATTTGGTTTAATATATACCCCAACAATTTCTACTTAAGGAGTTCTTATCTATCTGCAGAGATTGTACTAATTGTGGCTTCTATTGAAAGAAAGGAAAATCATAACTTCTGGAGTATAATTGTTGAATTTATATATTATCTTAACATACAATTACAAAAACAAAAGTTCCAAAACAGAACTAAGGGATTGATGTCAGTCATATCAACATATTTTGTCTATAGGATGAAAAGATAATCTCAGAATCTACATTAAACCTTTGTAACAAAAATCTTGAAAAAAATTTAGACAAATATTTTTGTTTAAAGATTTTATTATTATTTATTGACAAAAATTTATAATTTTTCTCCACTATATTAATTTTATTTTGCTTGAACAGGTGGACTACAATTGGCTGGCCACATAAAATTTATAAGCAAATGGAAACTACTATGGTAACTCATGAAGCTGATGAAGAAAGATTCCGAAAACTTCAGCAGTTTGACCAAGCAGCATTTAATGAAAAACTCGATTCATTAGCTGTAAGTAAAAATTCATGAAATGTCTATGTTAAATTTACATCACCAAGATATAATAATTACTTATATTTAGTTAGACTCGGCTGAGAAAACCGTCAGCTATATTAAAAGCTGGTTTGATGATAACATCAAATAAATCTCAAGCCACATCAATGCTAAATGGAAAACTCACCTACCTCTTGAACAATATCCAACATCCAATATAAAAAAAAATCTATTTTCAAAACCTAAAGAGGAAATGCTGAACACAAATAAGAAACATACAAATCAACTGGTGGCAGCCAAAAATCAAAGAATATCAAAACTATGCAGATACTAGAAACATTTTATGCAGAAACCAAATTTGCTTTATGGATTATTTCACTCTTCAACTATTTTCTGAAGACGGCTTACAATACCAGCATTCTCACTGATAGCCAAGATATCCTAAAGTGCTAGAGAGAACACATCAATATGCTCCTCAACATTTTCTCCAAACTGTGCTTCAACATCCTTCATAACTTTGGATAACTGTTTCATTAATCTACCATGAATTTGATGATGCCATCAAGAGAATGAAGTCAAGAAAATCACCTGGTCCAGACAAAATTCCTCCATCATCATTCTAAAGGGACTTACATGTTTAAAAACAAGGCTCTCCAAATATAGGAATCCCAGAGAAAATCGGCTGACCATAAAAATGTCATCATTATTACCATTTTCAAAAAAGATGATTGCAGCATCTATGACAACTTTTATGGCATAATCCCAATCTTCATCTTGGGGAAAAACTTTGCCAAAATCCTTCTTAACTACCTCCAAAAACATCTCTGATAAGATCCTTCTAGTGTCATAGAGCAGATTTCAAGCCTCCAGAAGAACAGTAGATACTATTGTAGACAAAGTTTCTTGTGGGCAAACAGTTGAATGAAACAATAATACAGTATGTACACAAGCTACGAGATTTTTCCAGACTCTGTGAGTTTAAAAAACTTGGTACTGGTGAAAGGATCATCGAAGATGAGTTGATAAGATTGAGGTTAATTGAAGGTATGTATGATGCTTCATACAAACACAAAATTTTAGTATGGTTTCAAATGATTAAATATCCTTGGATGCATTTATAGACTTTCTGGAACAGTTAGAAATAATTAAAAAATTCCATACATCCAAGAGTAATGCCGAAGCATATAGCATATCAAATTACCTCGTGTGATGCTAATACTGTGATAAAAAAAATGAATGGGACAAGAAAAATGTTCTACTTCAGGACAAGTATGCTGGAATTGTAAAAAAAATAAAAATTCCAGTCTGTGTGCATGAACCATTAGAAAGATCAGACAATTCAAAAGATAAAATATTGCACTAGATTGAAGCAGATGTATTATTACCCTTAGATTGTCTTGCATTTGAAACCTTAAAGAATCTGGTATTATGCAAGATTGCATGTAGAATAAAAAGAAACAAATGGAATGATTGTTCTAGGGCAGAGAAGCCCTATAAAGAGATAAGGCACAAGTTAACTATAGGGAAGGATCTTATATGCAATGGAGATATTTTAATGTCACCAAAAATATTAAGAAAAGACATAATAAAAAGTGTACATAATGATGGTGCTCATTGTGGAATAATAGCAACACAGAGAAGATTAAAATTGGAAATGTCATGGCCTGGGTATTCACGTGGTGTAGAAAAATATATATAAAAATGCCCAAAATGTAAGGAAATAAAAAACTTTCACCAAACCAAGATACATTCTTAGCCCAAATAAAAAGAGTCATGGACCTGCATTCATATGGATCATGCATATGAGTAAAATGATTATATGATTAAAAGCATAGGACTATTTTTAATTTTGGTTGGTTCATTCTCTGGTAATATTTTCCAGAAATGAGGTGCCAATAAACGTTAATATCTGACAGTGCACCAGAATCTTGTGATGAAACTTTGTATCCATGACTAAAACAAATTGGATGCCTCCCTTATAACATACCACTATACCACCCGCAACTGAATGGAATTGTAGAAAGAATGGTGCAAATGGTGAAAATAGGGTTGAAGGCATTTTCTCCATCCAGAGACACTATAGATTGTTACCTGCCAAGACTATTACTGAGTTATAGGATTATTCCACGTGCTGGTAGAATGCAAAGTCCCTCTTCATTGATGGGAAGATAAATTAAATTACCTATAACAAATAAATCACCTATAACAATGTCCAATTCAATAAATGAAAAATGTACAAAAAAGGTAGAGAAAGTCCTGAAAAAGCTAACTTTATTGAACAAAAGGACATAATACTGTTTTAATAGGAACAACTGAACATAATTTATTGACATTCTGATCAAATAAGACCTTGAATTGATGACAAAGGAGTTGAGATGGAGGAACCTGAAAGGAAGGAAAGCATGAATGTTTTTAATGGAGAAAGTGAACATAGTAGTAAAGAAACTTTGGAGGATAGTTAGCCTGAATCTGATGTGGAGTTGGAAGACCTAGATCCCCAATAAAAAAGAACCAGGTACACACACACAGGGGGAGAGAGAGAAAGAGAATCTCTTAATATTGTTTGGAGAAGTCAAAGCTGAATGAAGGGTATAAACCTTTTTGTTTCCAGGAGGGGTAGTGACAGAGGCAAAATGGACTTACCCTATTTTGCATAGTCGAGCGACTACTAAGATGTCAGTTGTCACTTGGTACAAAAGTAGAACTTCTATGTTACAGACTAGAAGACATCACAACAAAGCCTTTGGAAACAAAAGCCTAAAACAAAAAAAAACTAAGCTCATACAAAGATGTCATCATTTCAATCTTAACTCTACTAGTGCAAAGAAACTTGGGTGAATTCATCAGAAAAAGCTCCAATCAATTACAAACATTAACTGAAAGAATTATGTCTCCAATTTTGCAGGCACTGAGAAATTTCAAACCAAATCATTAAAATCACCATCATGAAATACTGTCTTCAGTGAACAGGACATGTATTATGCATGAACAATGATAAACTCTTGAGCCAAATCCTTTACAGTGAACTACCAGAGACCCCACAGCTGATCTTTGTGGCACTCTAAGGATCAAATAAAGCAGACTATGAAAAAGGGCAATATCAACCTGCAAATTTTAGAGGAACTAGCAACAAATCTTCCATTATGTTGTCAAACAGGAATGACATAAAAACAGAGGACAAGCAGGAATGACAGAAGGCTTGATAATATTCCATGCAAGGATCAGTTTTGCCAGCCACCAAAAGCATAGACATTGGATTTGAAATACTCAGAAACAAGTAATAAACTTATAGTTGCATCCACTGCCACATGTGGGATCAACAAAATGATTTTATTTGTGTAGATTGTCATTTAAATGTTAAACAAAATCAAACACTAAACAAAAGTGAGGCATTACTACAATAATAATTTTACTGGTTCAAAGTGTTAAGGCATCACACATACATTTAATAGCTTAAAACAAGCACCAAAAGGACTACTACAATTCAAATTATAAAGGGAAGTAACTCAGTGTTGTTCATGATGATGGTCGTCTTTGAATATAGAATCCAGAGGTTAGCAGTGAATATTTCGAAGACAGTAGGGAAGCATTGTTCAGGTTAGCAGTGGATATCCCGGTAAAGTAGCAGAGCGTAGTTCAGTAGTTCTTCCTTCTGTTCTTTCGCCTGACAAGTTGGCACTGGACATTCGGAGAGAGTAAACAAAATGGCTGCCTTTATACACAATGGATTGAATATTTTACGTCTTCTGATTGGTTAACCTTCTATTGGTGGACTATAAAGTGAGTCAAGTCATTTGGGCTAGCTCACTAGTACACATATACACAAAAAAACTGCAACACCCCCTCATTTTTGGGTATATTATGGAATCTTCTTTCAAAATATTAGTAAAGTCAATATTAATATGGAACAAATACTTTAGTATTCAGAAAAAAATTTTTTTTTTCTTTAGTATTCATAATGTAATAAAATTGTTTCTTTTATTTGTATTTTTTTTTTTTAAACAAAGTTAATATCCACAAAAATTAGATATATCATTTTGTCCACAGTTAAATAAACATTAACAACAATATTATAAATTTGGGTTGTGATCACAACAAAAAAAGTGGGGAAAAAATTGTTATTTTACCCATAGCTGGGACCCATTAAAACAGTCACTATCACTGATAGTGATCCTGAGGGTCATTAGAAGAGGATTGGGCTAAAAGTAGGACTATTTACATTTATACCCCGAAACTAAGAACTCACATTCATACCAAAAACTGACGTTTCTTAAGACAATAACTAATGGATGCAGTTTTACGTCCTACCCAGGACTAATAAGGACCTAAGAGAGACTTAATGGATGCAGTTTTACGTCTTGCCCAGGACTAATAAGGACCTTATAAGTCAGTACCAAATATGGTAGGAGTGAAAGATCGTAATTTCAATTTCGTAAATGGCTTTGTAAATAAATCTGCCACATTATTTTCCGATTGAACATATTCAATTTGTACTGTTTTCTTTTGTACCTGATCCCTAACAAATTGATATTTAATATTGATATGCTGTGATCTTTGATGTATTATTGTTGGATTTCTAGCCAAAGCAATTCTGGCCTGATTGTCGCAGTAAATAATTATTGGCTCACTTATTATCAGTGTTGTAATTGTTTTTATTAGTAATTTAAGAAAAATAGCCTCTTGTGTTGTTTGTGACAATGCAACATATTCCGCTTCACAAGTAGAAAGTGAAATCATTCCCTGTTTCTTAGATTTCCAGCTGATCATTGGATTACCGTTTGCTAGCTTAAAGCAACAGCCTGTTATACTTTTACGATCTGGTGAGTTGGCCCAATCAGCATCACAAAATCCTTCCAATTTTAATGTGTTATCTGATTGTCGAAATACTAAGCACTGACTCTTAGTTCCCTATAGATAACGTAATACTTGCTTAGCTCGTTAAATGCATAGTCCCCGGTTTATTTAAGTTTTGGGAAAACTTAGTAACTGTATAGCAGATATCTGGCCTGGTTGATGTCATGATGTAAATAACACTT